CAAGTCTCCCAAGTTGCTAGGATTATGGGTGTGTGCCACCACACCTGCTCAAGGAAACTAATTTTTAAAGATGTATTCTTCCTCCAAAGTAAGGAATGGCTCTGTCATTTGGAGAAAAAAAATTTTGAGATGGAGCCTTGCTCTGTTGCTCAGGCTGTCCCCATACTTCTGAGCTCAAATGATCCTCTTGCCTCAGCCTTCCAAGTAGTTGGGACTACAGGCTTGTGTACCTACCACACCTGGCTGGATCTGGTTTCTTATCTAACAATGGAGGTCATATATGCAAGAATGAGTCTCCTTGGTGTACAGAACTGGGCTGGGAGGCATTTTCTGTTATGCTTGTCTTTGCCTAGCGGGTTCAGTAATGTCTTTCATACAGATGTACTCTGAAATTAAGCCATGTAGAACAGGTGTGAAACAGACATAAACATGATTCTGCTTGTTCTTAGAAGACAAGTCGTAAGTTGTACTTGAAGAGGCAAAATTCATGGAATAGTGTCAGAATATATAACTTGGGGCGTTTTTGTGGAAGATGGAGGAATTACCTGTTAAGATGTAATGTGCCCTCCTAATCTAGTACATGGCCATCAAGTTGCTGTAGATTGTTGGCACACTGACTTTACTCACCGTACTCTGATTTGGCACATTTGTTGACGTTAATTTTGGCAAAGGAGTTCTTAACAATGATTGTCTTGCACAGGTATCTATTTACTAAGAAGTGCAAAAGGAAGCAGTCTCTGGAGTAAGGTCAAGGAAAGCTGTAACTACTATTAGGCAAGTTTTATTGTTAAAGGCAATGGCCAGAAGCCAAAGAAATTAATTCATTCCTGTATCACCTGTGGCCCTTGACTGTGAAGGGATTCTGCCTCATGGTCTCACAAATCCTAAACTCTGGTACAAAAAGAAATATTATTACAAGAACTATCTAAAGGGGCTAAAACAACTTGTGCACAACTGTTACACACCTACTAGGTTTTGAGTGGTGCAATTTTCTGTATTTGGTGACCAGTACAAATGTTAGCAAAGCTTTCCTGGTGAAGTTTAAACCGAGACCTAAAGGATGAAAGGGATTTGGCCAGGTAGAGGGAAGGGGATACATGTTCAAGGCCATGGCAGGAGGATGGTGGGAGGCGAAAATTCAGCACAAAATATCAGAGTTGATGGGGCACAGCAAGCAAGTAGTGAAGCTTGATGAAGTGAACAAAGGTAACATTTCCAGATCTAAAAAAAACACCAATGATATTTTTCTGATGGTATGGTACAATTCCTAGAAAAACAAAGTTAGGGTTGTTCCTTTTTTTTTTTTTTTTTTTACTGATAAGCATACTACATAACTTAATATGAATTTAAGGTCAATACAGATTATTAACTCACATAAATTAAAACACAAACATATAAAATAACAAGTATTATTTTGCTGCCAAGGTAACTTTGCCTAATACACACATCTATATATGTGTATTTTTTAAAATCTTGCACTGTCAAATGGTAGAAACTTTTTTTTTCATTTTTCACACCTAATTGTGCTATCATGGAAATCCTCTTAGTTGGGCCCTCATAACTTTGTTCAATTCAACTGTAATTGTTATTAAAGGTAATTGATATTCCTTTAGTTCACCAAGGCAACCTGGAAACTGGCAATACGGCATGTTTTCAAGGAAAAGGACACTGCACAGACATAACACCATAGGAGAAAAGAACACAAGATAGTTCATCACCGTTATTCCAAAGTATATTAGGAAGGCAGCATTTAAAAAAATAATCCTTTCTGGATCAAAATATCTCCATTATAATGTGGGTAGTGAGGGACAGACAGAGGCTTCCTAAGTTCCCTTTTCTACCTATGACTTACTTGCTGAAACCCATTGCTTAGATACTCAAAAAACCATTATTTACAAAATTACAAAAAATTTAGGGTAGCAGAGATTATGTACTTAAGTTCCAAGGATGGTACATGACATTCTGTTAAATGCAACACAGACCAAGTAAGAAGCCAACACTGACCCTCATAGGCAGAGATAGTGTCATGAACCTGACACATGCAAATGCCAGTTTTCTCTCCTGCATGAACAGGAAAGTCATGTAACCCAATTGATCTGATTTTACCTAGTTTTTAGTATTACTAGAGAATTATTGTTTGTTTTGGTACAAACTGATTTAAGATTATCAGATTCCTTTTTTTTTAAACCAAACACCCAATCTTTTTTTTTTTTTTTTTTTTTGAGGTCCTAGGGATTAAATCCAGGGCCTTGCTCATGCTAGGCTAGAGCTCACAATTTAGTTACATCCCCAGCCAAAATACATCCAATCTTAAAAATTTTAGAGTATAAATGTGATAACTAAAAAATGCTTTTGTCAATTATATAGTGGCTCAATATTTGGGCCAAATGGAAGATATTTCAAAAATATATCTATATGTAAGTATCAGATGCCTTAGCATCTGCTACTTCTACTCCTAAGCAATTCTACTTCTAAGAATGTATTTCAAGAAAAGTCATGAATGTACACAAGGTTCATTGAAGTGTTTATAACTGTAAAAAGTTGTCAGTAGTCAAAATGTCCAATGGACGATTAAATAAATTATGATTCAGTCATACAACAGAGTAACAAACCAATAAAAATGATGCAGAAGACTATGCATAACCTGGGAAACATGTTTACAATATATTGTTAAGTGAAAAAAGCAGGTTACAAAACAGTATGCACAATATGAGCCCATTTTTATAAAAATATACATATTTAGCAAAGTAAGAGGTCAAATGATATTTATCAAAATATTAACATTGGTTATTTCAACACAGTAGGATGATTGTGGATTCTGCTTAACCACCCTCTCCCTTTTTTCCTTTTTGAATTTTTTATAATAAAGATTATTTTTCGAATGGGGGTAGGAGGCGAGGGAGTCACCGACTTCGGAGATGCTGCTCCCAAAGGTTCTTCCCAGCAAAGTGAACGTGTCTGCTCAGCCTGTATCTAGGAAACTGCTCTACCTCAGACACCTGGATGTCCCTCACATACAGTGTACATCCAAGCTTCCTTCTTGCAAGCTATCCAATAGTCACTTTTGAAATTACAATTTAAAGACCCCTCCTATTAGTTAATATCACCAAAAAGAATAATGAGAAAATACAAATCCTCACTTTAAAAAAGCAACAACTCAAGTACATACTGCTAAATTATACAAAGTTACATTATCTAAGTTTAGTTTATTGCAAAGATCAAGACAGCACACTGCTTCTATTTCATACCTTCACAGCACTCACTCCATTTTGTTCACTCACTCGTGCAAAAGGTCTGTATACACAATGATGCCCAATATTTCTTGGTTCCCATGATAAAACAGGAAACCTGATATTCCAATTAAAAAGGTAAAATGAAGACATTTATCAACAGACTGTAAAATACTCTTCTGGAAGAGGACACTGTTAATACCTGAAGATACACTTTGAAAAAAAATCAAATACCAAACAAAAGGGGCACCATTTCAGGAGTGCCAGGACCACATTAAACTGAAATGAATTCCAACATTCATAATAACATAAATCAAAAACAAACCTAGTGTTAAACAAAAGCTCCAGTAACTAAAACTACATTAACAGGCACAATGAACAGTGTAAACACTGTTAATGGGCACCAAGTTTAATAGGGCAGACAATATTTGCTTCTGCATTCACAATTATTCAATTACATTTAAAAAAAATGGTGCTGCTTAAGCTATGAATGCTTTTTACCAAAAAAAAAAAAAGAAAAAATTAATTTCAATAAATACAACAAGTGCTAAAAATCTGGCTAGGTTATCATGCAAGATATTACATAGCTAAGACAAACTCAAATTTATAATAAAGGCAACTTGCATTCAAAATGAACTCTACCCTTATATTTTATTAAAAGGGCAAACATCATGAATTAACCCAGCTGCTTACTTGAATTACAAAAGTAACATGATTCAATATGAAAATAAGAAACTGTCTACAAATCTCTGACAGTAATAAATTGCAATATACAATGCATACAGGCGTCATACAGAGCAACAAACTCTTGTACAAAACAAAAATATTTTAATACCTTTAAAATCCAAATTTGTCTTTAAAATCATTCATGAAAAAGATTCTCATCAAGTCAGAATTAACACCTCAATTAGTCAAGCATCAGGAAGCTACATTACAGCTACTTAATATACAAAGAGACAGCGCTTCACCAGTCATTTCCTCTCATGTCTCTGTTCCCGAATCGTACACGCTCACTTCTCTCCACTCCCCATTCTGTCATTTCTTCAGATCATGAAAACTGAATTTGTTGAACACCAGAAATCTAAGATTAGAAAATTTAAACAGTGAAATTTTTAAAAGTTTAAAAGTAACATACATTATAAGAATTCACTGAATGAAAACAATGGACAATGTAAAATAAATCCACTTGTCCCAGATCTCCAATCTCCACTCCCTCTTCCCAAAGAAACTTCTTTAATAGTTTTTTTTGTGTATCTTCTTTGAAATCTTCTATGTGAATATAAACACATGTACATTTTTTTTTAACCATTAAGGGACTACTATATGTTGTTTTATTTATTTTGGGAAAACAATTTTAATAACCTTTATCTTCTCATATCCTTAATAATAGTAACAATGTGTTGAATTACCTGTGATAAAAAAAAAAAAAAAAAAAAACCAAAGGATATAACTGAATTTTACACAGTTTAGGGCCAGGGTGTAGCTCAGTAGTAGAGTTCTTGTCTAGCTTGTCCAACGTCCTGGTTTTGGTCCCCACCACCACAAAAATAATAAAATAGTTTAAAATGCAAAGAAGTCACTGTACCTGTTGATAGGACGTTGTGTAAACCATAACATTTTGTTGTTGACCATCTGCAGTTATTAAGCCAGCTGGTAACTGGTTTGCTAAAACACACACACCACGTACACACACACACACACAAAGAAAATTTAAAAACATGTTAATGAGGGAAATTAGTTGTACCTCTTTTCTTAGTCTGACCTAAAGGTGATATCATTAATGTCTCATTGTCATTCTGTCACTTTTCTATGATGTAATCTTAGGTAAAATCATAGACCTTAAATTTTATGTTTTAAAAAAATTCCCTAAAAAGTACATTTTTCCTATTGCATTTTTTTGTTTTCTTCACCTTCATATCTTTAAAGTGTACACTAGCTAATACATAGAAATCACAGAAAGGCTGGGTTTCTGAATCAGGTTAGATTTGAGTCTTGCTGGGAGCAACAGACAACTAAGTAATATATATTTTACAGGTGAGAAATTTATAAAATACAAACATATAGATATTAGATATTTCATGTGACAAATATACTCACCATACACCTTTATTTCACAGTGAAATAAAATGAAATATGGCAATATTATTCTTGATTTTAAAAAAAGGAATCTTTGGGCTGGGATTGTAGATCGGTGGAAGAGCACTTGCCTAGCATGTGTGAGGCAGTGGGTTGGATTCTCAGAACCACAAACAAATGAATAAAATAAAGGTCCATCAACAACTAAAAGATACTTTTAAAATATTTTTTTAAAAAAGTAATCCTTGAGCTCAAATTCGTTTCTTTATCTTTAATATTTATTTTTTAGTTGTAGTTGGACACAATATCTTTATTTTATTTTATTTTTATGTAGTGCTGAGGATAGAATCCAGGGCCTCGAACATGCTAGGCGAGTATTCTACTGCTGAGCCACATTCCCAGCCCTCAAATTTCTTTAAATCACCAGATTTTATATTTTGAAGTATAACTGTGAATATTCCTATCTCAAGTGAATCTTTATCAAAAATTAGGGGCTATGGAAATCAGTTCTTTTTTTTAAGTTTGCAAAAAAAGATTTATTTAATGAATCTGTGTTTCTTGGAAGGAATTCAATCAGAAATTTAATCAACACAGATCATTTAAAATTCAACCTCAGATCATTTAAAATTCAACCTATCATTAGGCCCAAGGAGTAGCCTTGTGAGGTTATTAGGTGAGGCCTGAACTACCTCCAGCTGTATGTGGAGTCACTTTAGCTTAAATCAAATGTTAGAGCTGCTTTACCAATTGCATACATATTAAAGACTAGAAGACAGGGGCCAGGGTTGTGGCTCAGTGGTAAAGCGCTTGCCTAGCATGCATGAGGCACTGGGTTCAATCTCTGGCACCACAGAAAAATAAACAAAGGCATTGTGCCCATCTACAATAAAAAAAATATATATATTTTTAAAAAGACTAGAAGACAGAAGGCTTCTGAACATGTAGTGACTCTGTCACCAGGGGAATCCAAATAGACTCCCTGGATAAGTCTCAAGTCAATACTGGGTTCTCAGAACTGTTCACTCACTCAGTGATGATGAGAATTTGTCTGTTCAATATAGCTACAGATCTGAGATTTCATGGTCTCTTGTGATATCTGGGCACAAGCCTGGGTCAGAGCTCTATGACTTGTGTTATCTGAGATACTGCATTTCAAAGGGCAAGATGCAATCCTGAGAAATGTAAGTGAGCTTTAGAGAATTTATATATATTTGGAGGAGTCAGTCCCTTTGAGGCTCTGAGGAGACTATGAGCTCTGCTGTCTGTGCCTAAGGCCAGGCATTCATACCTAGGGACAGGTTCTTAATAAACTGGTAATAGAGTAGTTATCAGTAAATCAGAACTTTCAATGAAAGGTTATAATGTCTTTCAGGTTAAAATTTTCTGCACTTACCATTCACTGGCTTTAAATAAAAGGGCATGAATTAATAAGAACCATTCAGGATAGTGCTATGTCAAAATACTCAGTGCTGATATCCCCCAAATACCAACCCAGACATTTAGCATGAATCACTAACAACTACATGTCTTGTAACATAACACTGCTTACTAAATGCCTCCTCTGTAAGTTCTTCACTTAGTCCATCTGTAGCTGTGACTGCCCCACCAATTCCCTTCTCTCCTTTCATAGCCTAGGGAAAGGGGGAAAAAAAAAAAGCAGTTACTGGTATGCAAATAAAACTTGCCCAAATGAGAATGCTTACTTATTGCCTAAAATTAGGAGCTTCTAAATTTAAAAATGTATTTACTAACACTTCCAGTTTAACAGCATTATAAGTCAGCATTATTAGTAAATACCCAGAAAACCTAAAGTATATATGGTAAAAATAAATTATTCTGATTCCATTCCATTCCATTCCATTCCATGAAGGGATCATAGAACTTTACTTACAGATAAAGTCTGCAAAATATCTATAAATAGGGCTGGGTTGTGGCTCAGTGGTAGAGTGCTTGCCTAGCATGTGTGAGGCATTGGGTTCGATCCCCAGCTCCACATAAACAAATTAAACAAAATATCTATAAATAATCAGCCTATAAATCTGTAAACAATTTAGGTTATCTCTCACACACAGAGTTCTCAGCCAACTGACAAGTATAAAGAAGCAGCAAATTTAAAATTCCTAAATAAAAGTTACCATTTGGACCAAATATCTCTGAAGTTCCATTTACTCTAAGGTTCTAATACTGAAGATTTGGAAAAATATTGTGAAGAGTTTATATATTCCCTTCCTACTTTAATCATTCCATGTAGATATTACTAATTTAATGAGATTCTAACATGAAAGATATTAGTGTATTTTGAAATCAAAGTTGGAAATAAATTAGCTAAAAAAATGTCAACTCATTTATATAAACTTCATACTCAGAGGCAAAGATAGCCTGATAGGAAGTGTGGAAGAGGGCAATCAATAACAAAAGGAGATAGTTGTAACTTTCTCTTTTTATTATCTAATAAACCCCAAGCTTAGCAATGTTACCTCTTTTAAATGAACAGTAACAGCAAGAAGTAACATGGAGTCCTGACCATTATTCACTTAGTTCCCTCTCAATAATTCTATGATGAAGGCACTATTCTTAAGCCTCACTTTATAGATGAGGAAACCAAGGTCTAAAGTATTAAAATAATCTGCCCAAGGTCACGGAGTTCACACGTAGGGCAGGTGGGACACAGACTCCAGGTTGTCTGAATCTAGAATCCTTTTATACAAGTTATGCTTTAGTTCTAATAAATAAAGGAAAAAGTACTATAATTTATGTGACTAAATACTTCTAAGAAATGTTACATAATGTGCTAAAAATAATTTTTTAAACAAATAATGTATTTAAAATGTTAAGGTGAACAGTGCATCTCATTTTCTTAAAAACATAATGCTCAGGAGACATTTCATTTACCTCTCTGAATTTCTGAAGATATAATTTCAGAGGTTCTACATAACTGTCAAAGCCTAAGGTAGACATGGCAAAGAGAATATCCTCTCCATTGATTGTCTTCCGCTTCTCTTGATGGCATCTTTCACTTGCCTCTGATGTTATAAAGCTTATGAACTCACTCACACATTCCTGCACACATTCTTTGGCATCTTTTGCAATCTGAAGGAAAAAAAATCCACAGGTAAATTTGCAGGAAATATAACCATCACCTTCCTAATCCTGCAAAAATAAAAGACTATTCAGAAGAATGCATATTTTAGTTTATAACAGTTGAATATGTGCTAATAACACAAATGTATGTTCTCACAATTCCAACCCTCAGAATCAGGAAAAAAAACCTCAAATACCAACTAGAGGAGGAACTCTGACAACTATTTAACAACAACAACAATAACAAAAATACAGATATAAGGGGCTAGGGATATGGCTCTGTGGTAGAGCTGGCCCTTGCCTAGCATGTGTGAGGCCCTGGGTTTGATCTGGTACTGCAACAATAACAACAACAACAAAAAAAACCAGATATAATTTGGATACCAAAGAACAACAACTGGATATCCCTACTACTCCATACAAGATGAAAACTAAGAAAAGCAATCCCATTACATCTACACTAAGTATACTGTGGGCTATAGACTTAGGTACCACTTCTCTGCCTTAGCATTTCCATGAATAAGGACACAGAAAAAATAAAAACAAACACTAAATTCGCTTAAGCCTAAGAAAGGAGTGAAATACAACATATGGTGACTTTTTTACTACTGAGGATACAAAATGTCAAGAATGTGTTTTGAGTTTATTAAAAAGCTTACCTAAAGAAACATATGCCTGCCATATCATCATAAAAACAATTCTTCCCTTAAGGGTTTGGGGCCTGAAGTAAAAATCTAATTAATCATGCAATGATTAATCATGCAGTTCCAAAGCATTTATAACCACAGTGACCACCTCCTTGCTGAAAAGCACTGTCTTTTTTCCTTCCTTCCTATTTTGCATACTGGAGAAATTGAACAAGAATCGTATAAATATAGCCAAGTACATAATTTTGTATTTTCTAGTAAGCCATGTTAAATAAAATAGAACCAAGTGAAATTAACTTTAGTATTTTATGTACCCAATATATCAAAATTATCATTTAAACATGGAATCAATTTTAAAATGGGACATTTTCATCCTAAGTCTTTAAAACCTGGTGTGTTTTAATCTCAGTTCAAAAGAACCACATTTCAATTGCTCCACAGCCACTATGGCTAGTGGCTTTGGTATAGGACAGTACATGCCTACCCTTTCTAGAAGCAACAGTCAGTAATGGTACATCTCCTCCTAAAACATAAGGAAGACCTTTCTCAAACAGGAACTTCTAGGCTTAGTGATGTGTGTTAATATTTCTTTGTAAACTATATTACCTTCGTAAGTACTTCTATAAGCTATAATAAATAATACAAAGGGTTACTCTGCAATATAAAATACATGTGAATTTTAATTCAGACCAAGTAATGAGTAGTGATATGTCTTTAAAAGTTGTTCTAAGACAAAACTGCTTTAAAAAACAATCATATGAGTTGAAATGTTAACAATTGTGTAAGAGTTGTTTCCAAATACCAGAATTTTAAACCTTAGCACATTATTTCAGTCTGATCTAACCTAATTTTGCTGAAACATTATACAATTACAACTTCATAGGACCAAATCTGATACTTCTGATAATGCAATTATTTTAAAAAAGATTCTTAATTCTGGTTTATCTGCTTCCAATGAGTAGGTGCAGGGGAGCATTTGGGGACATGACAGAACTGAAAATTGAATATTGTTCAGTAACTAAGTATGTTGAAACAAGTATTTGATTTGCTGAAAAGCTGAGTAAATAGCTAACTATTGATTTACCTATGTATTCATGTAGTCTTACATTTCCCCCCCAAAAAAACCCCAGTTAAATTTCAATGTTACCTTTCCTGTTTGAGGTATAGCATTTTTATTATCCTAGCCACGTTTGCAATTGGAAGATATATATCTTGTTCTCTGAAACTTTCTTTTGAACCATTTGTATCTTCATGATCATTCATGCTGTCCTCAGTATCTAAAGAAATTTTAAAAAATTTTTAGGTTTAAAGCTTTTCATAATTTTACTTCAAGATAGAAAGGACTATCTGAAATGACCTAGAGTAAAAACCATTATAGTTCATAATTTTTTTTTAGGGATTAGTACAGCAGTTCTTTTCAGAATTTTCACAGGGTCAGAACTGACCCTATTCATTAATTTCAAACCCACTGCCTAGAATTTTTAAAAAATATTTTTTAGATGTTGATGGACCTTTATTTATATGCAGTGTTCAGAACTGAACCCAGTGCCTCACACATGCCAGGCAAATGCTCTACCACTGAGCTACAACCCCAGCCCCTCACTGCCTAGAATTCTTTTATCCTCAATAATATCTACTAAAATCCTATCTACCAATTTTTCAAAAGGCTAGGATAACATCTCCACAGCACCTTCAAAAGTAACCTTTCTTTTCATAAAATACCACAAGTACTTCTGTATGCCTTCTCTATCACACATCTTCTAAATTCTTTTTATTTCTCATCCCCTCTGCTAAGATCATTAGTACTTGATTCCAGGGATCCACTTTGTTGTCCTAGGACTTGGTATAGGTACCTTCTCAGAGCAGGTGCTAGGATTTATTGCCTAATTTAGCTATAAAACTAGCTGTGACAATCTATGGCTCCTGGAATAATGCAAGATTAAGCGGGTATGTGTTCATTCAAAGCCAAGTTTACACAAACTTATATATATAAAATTTACTCTGTATAAAACTCATTAAAGTTGATATAAACTTGTTTATAAGTTTATGTAAAACCCTACAGAGTGGAAAAACTAGACTTGAATATCACTGACCCAACTGGATCACTTAATGTAGTAAGTAGTTCTTTATAGCTTTAGACATAACTGAGGCTTTCACAGTACCAATAGCACCCTTTATGACTAAATACATAAATGTAAATTACATAAATGAATATAAAATCTCTCACTTTTGGACATACTAAATAAGCAAGGTACTGAAACTGATTCAATTTACATTTTAATGTGTTTAAAACAATATTATCAAAACTAATTTATCTGAATATCCGTTTTAGGATGAAATACTAATCCCCTCCAAACTCCTTCTAAAAATATATCTTAATTTTTCATTTTACAAATCAAAATGCCACAAAAGTAAATTATTTCTAACAGCCAACATAATACTGCCATTCTAATATTTGACATTGTTCAAAGTTAATACTGAATGAAAAAATTAAGTTTGATTGTAAGTGCTAGAAACATAATAGCTAGCAGTTTTACTCCCTTTAAAGAACTATTTTATTTACTATAACAACTGAATAAGAATTTCTCATACTTAATACTTACATAGGAAATCATTAATAAGTTTTAAAAGAAACAAGTTTTTAAAGAAAAGCAATACTTTTATAGAATTCTTATCTAGGACTTCTCACACTTTTGAGATTATTTCTAATAAATACCTTTTTAGATCTTCAGTGAACTATGACATGAGATTGCTAATTTTCCTGGAACGACAAAAGTAACCTAACACATCATATATTATAATAAAAAGTCCACTTTCTAAGCCGTTCCCACATGTGCATCTGGCTCTAGCTTTGGATTTCTTACCATCGTGAGGCTGTATCACATAATGACTTCCTCCAATGTAGTCTGCAGAAATTCCTAGTTGAGTAGCATCTGTTGTAGAACTGTCACCATCCATCTAGGAGGAAAAAAGAAAGCCTTTTAGCACTCTTCAGTAAGAGTTGTACTAAAAAAACCCCAATAGATTCAGTGCTCATAAACTCTCATTCAGAGAATGGGTCAACTACATAACCTTAAGCTTACTAAAAGAAAGCATTTATATTTCTTGTTTTGAAATATTTTTTAGTTGTAGATGGATACAATACCTTTATTTTATTTATTTATTTTTATGTGGTGCTGAGGATTGAATCCAGTGCCTCACATGTGCTAGGCAAGTGCTCTACCACTGAGCTATAACCTCAGCCCCACATTTGTATTTCTTGATTGGAAACTTTCCAATAATTCATCAGCAATTTAAGATTGCCATATCCATGTTCTATAAATTATAAACATAAAACCAACAGGGAAACACAACATGGAAATGAATCTAAAGCATTTACCCCTTTTTTTCAATAGCATAATGCTCAAATATACTATAGGCAAACCTTGACTTACAATCTAACCTATCACTGGAATGCCAATCAAAGCCCAAAATCAGCTTTGTAGTCTATTGGAAGTCACCTATACCCACTGCTTTGAGTTCTCCTGCTAAAGTCTATGCATTCTTTGTTGTTGTTGTTTTTTAAATAACTTTATTTATTTTTATGTGGTGCTGAGGATCGAACCTGAAGCCTTGCCTGTGTGAGGCGAGCACTCTACCTCTGAGCCATAACCCCAGCCCCCTGTGCATTCTTTTGCTCCTCCTACAAACTCCCTTTGCTGTCTTACAGAATTTCCAAGTAGATAATGTCTCAGGTTATGCTGCTGCTTGGGTAAGAAGCATTCGGATTCCCCGAGCAGTGCTGTATCCACGCTACCCACCAATACACCTACATTTTCAATGAGCCCATCACCTCTGATTCTAATCAAAGGTTAATTTTCTCTTCCTCCAGACCCTTAAGTTTTTTAATTCTTTATCACCCCCTAGTAATACCCTGGGGTGTTTTACCACTGAGCTACATCCCCAGCCCTTTTTATTTTGAGACAGAGTTTGGCTAAGTTGTCCAGCCTGGCCCTGAAATTGAGATTCTCCTGCCTAAGCCACCTGAGTCACTTGGATTACACAACTTTTCGATAAAGAGAGAGAGAGAGAGGGAGGGGGAGGGAGGAAAGGAAAGGAAAGGTCAGGGATACCAAACATCTGCATGTAAAGATAGGAAATCACAACTATAGACAAAAACAAGAGTTAAAAGGATGATTTTAAAAGTCTGTTTAATTAATTTTGCTTAGAGCTCAAAGAACACTGGTAACATAGGAAAATTTGGAAAAAAGTGCCTATAAGCTCCATTCCATTTTACCACCAGCAGATTCTGGAAGGTTTTCTGCTTTGCAAATACTATTACTCAGAACAATTAAGGCACTGGCTATTTGTGAATGGAAAAATTAAAAATACATTATCTAAAAAGTATTGTAAAAATTAAACATAATTTATACATGTTTTCAGGCCAAAGAGAGAGATACTTGATGTTAAATGTTTATTAAGGCCTGAGACCCAGTGCAAACAATGTTTATAAACTGTAATATTTTTGTCCCTTGTATAAAACTTATCTTCTCTATCTCTCTTGGATTTTTATTTAATGCTAAAGTACTAGGCTAGGTTCCAAAGGCTCAATAACATGGCATTTTTCTCACGCATCTGTTAATTTTGATGTGTAACTGAACTGTAGCTATAGATATATTTCTAAAATTTACATAGTTTTTTAATGTAGTAGAAAATAGAATTTATAGACCTTTAGTAATCTGTGAAAATACAGAATACCTGTTTATTCACTGATTTTTGGTGGCTCTTAGGATTGCCACAAGGTCTGAACTTTCTGACCCTTCTGTTGTCCTCCACAAATAGCATCCTTGCAAGTTCTAGGTATTTCTATATAAAACAGAAACATCAATACTGCTCTCTCAATCTTAAAATGATATAAATGTATATGAAGTATTAACCCAATACAAGACACTATTTTGATCCTAAAATGTTAACAAGACCCAGGAAGAGCAGGTTTCTGAAGATGGTCCTTTAGAATGGCTGTGAGTTCACTACTTTTTACAATGACCTAAGGAAGGTCAAGGTGCAAGTGATAGGCCCCAAGTGGTTGTTTCAGAACCTTCAACTGCAAACAAAATCTTTTTTGGGAGGTACAAGGAACCAATAACAAGTTCTTTGATAAATGAATGTACACAGGATACTAGACTCTTGGCTGATAAGCAAGATAATGTTCAAATAACCAGGTGGTTCTCACAGATGAATTAATTTATAAATATAACACAAAACCATTAAAGGCAAAAAGTTTTAATCATATTATCTTGTCATGCATTAGAACTAGCAGCAAGATTATCATCTGGATTAACAGCATTAGCCTTTCAGACCTCAGTCTTCTAAAAATGAAGATCAAGTTATTTCCTAGAGTTGTCAGAATAAAGACTAGAATACTGCTAAGGACAGTGACCCAGTTGTATTGTACTCCACAGACACTGGACCTAGCCTCCCTCCTTTGAAGGGTTGCACATTTCTGCTTAATTATATGTTTTTGGTTCTGCAAGTTTTAGCATTTCTGTCAAGTTGCACCTTCTGTTTTTCTTTATCGTTTTGTCTCTCTACCATTAAAATCCCAGCCCTGACTTTAATCCCAATGATCCCCATCCTGCTGGAATCCTTCTTTCTAATTTTTCTGATTCTGCAATCCAAGGGCTTATGTTCACTTCTTTGAAGACCTATGGCACTGAGCCCCTTCATTCAGCCAATCAAAATCTGATAAACATGCTAGCCACTCCACTATAAGGAAGGAATGGTGGAAAAGACTTGTTAGGGTTTTTTCTAGGTCTAAAACCTCCTATAAAAATTTATAAACCAGAATGTAGGTCACAAGTCAGTCAACACATATTTTCCTGAGTGAACACTGAGTGTTTGTCGGGTCTGTGCTATGTATGATAATGAAGCAGTCAACAACACAGACAAGGTCTCTGTCCTCATCCTGCAGAGAAAACAAAAGTTACATAACCTGGGGGCAGGAGGAGGGGCAGAGAGCATAGTCTATTGGTACTTCCAGGACACAGGCTCTAGAACTCAAATCACCTACTTTGAATGCCCTGCTACTCAACTGGCCATGAGACCTTGAGCACATTGAATGAGAACAGGACTTAACCTCACAGGGCTCCTATACAAGTTAGGAGATAATTAGTACAGTATTATGGAATACTCGCTTTACTCCATTAAAGGTCCCCATGAGTCTGAGGGATCAGGAAGTTTGGAAGAGGAAATGGCATTTAAACTGACTGAAAGATGAATACAAATCACTCAGGCAAAAAAGAAGTGGGAAAACAATATTCCAGACAGAGCAAACAGACAAATACAGTATTAGGGGATTGGAACTAGTTAAATGGGATGAGATCAAGCAGATCCTTGTAGACAAGAGCAAATAGGAAAAAAAAAAATTAGGAAGAGTGCAAATTAGATTTTTAAAAAAAATTTCTTTATTTTTTGGTACCAGGGATTGAACACAGGGGTGGCTCAACTATTGAGCCATTTATTTTTTTACTTTGAGACACAGTCTCATTAAGTTGCTTAGGGCCTAAGTTGCTGAGGTTGGCTTTGAATTTGCCATCCTCTTGCCTCAGCCTCCTAAGCCACTAGGATTATAGGTATGAGCCCAAAGCACCCAGCTAGATTTTTTTTCTTTTTAAATATTTTTTTTTTTAGTTAGTTGTCAATGGAAAAACTTTTATTTTATTTATTTATATGTGGTGCTGAGAATCAAACCTAGTATAATGCTAGGTAGGCACTCTACCACTGAGCTACAACCCAGCCCTGGATTTCTTTTTTAAAAGATCATTTTAGGCGCTGGGGCTATAGCTCAGTGGTAGAGTGCTTGCCTTGCATGTGTGAAGCCCTGGGTTCTATCCCCAGCACCACATAAAAATGAATAAATTTTAAAAAATGAAGATATTTTAAAAAAGATCATTTTAGCCAATAGAGAAAACCCATTCAATACAAAAATGACCTAGAGGGGAGCAAGAACAGGGGCAGGAGACTGATAGGGATGATACTGCTGCTGCTAAGACATGAATTCAGGTAAGAGGGTGATTATCTCAGCATCTGCTCCAAGGACAGAGCCCTGGAGATCACAGGAAGCAGTGTCACTAGCAAGAACCAGCAGAACTTGGTGACTGGCTGAGTAAGAACTCAAGGAAGGACCAAGGATATTGCTGGGATTCTCCTGGCTACAGAGAAAGGGAAAGGAGAGGGATGGGAAGACTGGGCCACGCAGGGCCTAGCTGATGCTGGTGGCTCTCAATGGTACTGATGTGTCCTACTGTGACAATCATAGGCTTGGTATAACAAGAGAAGCTAGTGTTGGATTTCATCCAGGGGAAAAAGGGAGAAGAGCCGGTAGGACAGTGACAAGAGCAGTGGTAAAATGATGAATCACTAAATCGGAGGGTACTGGTAAATATGGACAAAGAGTAGTTAAGTCTCATTATGATAATTTTAATGACATGAATTATTTAGCGGAACTGGTATTATTCTCCAAAATATTATGGGCGGGCAAGGAAGATCTGCTTTTCAACTATTACCACTCTATGAGGAACAGTTCGACCCTTTCCTCTTCCAGACTAAATCAGCTGACTAATACATTTTTATTCTATTTTTTTGTGTAAGCAGTATTTATACTATGCTAAAAATTTGTTGCATAAATACATTAAATAGTGTCCTCTTTCTGTGTTTACATTTATTTAACACTTTCTATATATCTCACACAATGTTCATGATACCATATAGCAGGTAAGAAAATTAAAGTGTATGAGGCTAATAATTTGTCTAAGGTGACACAGGAAGTGGGATTGAAATCTAGAGCTTCAAATGTTAAGCACTTCGCAGACTGCATTCCTGGTAGCTTTCCCTGTAGTCCTTAAGCCTAATCTTTAACATTCCTCTTCTAAATTCTAGGTGTATTGATTCTATATTGAAAGCATTTAAAATGCCTTCCCAAGCAAGGGCAATATTTGTGAAATGATCAAGAACGCCCTGTGGCCTGGGTGTGCAGCGTGGCTCCCCTTTACTAACATGCCCATGAATAGTGCTTACCTTCCTTTTTGTGTTCCAGTTTCCCCATTTTAGAAATGGGGTTGCTCTGAGAAGTTACTATTTAAAAAGGACCTAGCCACGTGCATTAAACACATAGCAAGAACAACAAATGTAACCTGGTGTGATTTTTATCTCTTCAAATACAATTCTTTCTAGGCACAAAGAGTTCTCTGTCTCTCTCATACATATGACTTATCTTTCTAACTATTCTGTGGATCACATTCTGTTTTAGGATAAGAAATAATACAAGAATTCCTCATCTCTAATGTGTCTTCAGTTCTCCCTGCTAGCTTCTTTGCATTTCCTTAAACTTGTCATCTCCCTCATTACGTAAAGAAAACCTTAATTATACGCCACTATTTGTGAAGCTACCATGGTCACCCTGCCATGCAGTCCTTACATACCTCTCCATTCCCACTTAAACTCCCTGCCATCTGCTTTTCGACCTACATCACACGACACCACTCTCCAAGCTGCCAGTGCCCTTGCCTTCATCCTACTTGACATCTCTGTGGCGCCTGTCACTGCCGACTTCTAAGGCAATAACCTCGCCTAGTTTATTCTTTCTTCCCATCCTCTAATTGGTAGTTTCCATCCAAGGTTATTGTTTTCCCTCTTTCCCTTACTATCTTAATGAACTCATTAAGCATCACCTCTATGCTCATAAATCTCAAACCTATAACCACTATTTTGCCTGTCACATAAACAACCCACAGTGTAGAATGTGTTGATATTCCATCACCGCAAACTAAGATAACGGGAAATGAAACTCACCTCCCCCACCCACTGCAGGGGGCGGGCAAGGAAGATCTGCTTTTCAACTATTGCCACTCTATGAAGAACAGTAGGACCCTTCCCTCTTCCAGACTAAATATACCAGAGTCTTCTCAAGTGGGTCCACCTCCTTCAAGACTAACTCATTGTTACATCTTTTACTATATTGCCCGGATATGCCCTTCCTTTTCTATTTCCACTGGATTACTGCCGACACACCTTAACTGTTGTGTTATGACTAATATACTTACTATAACATTGGTTCCATAGTTCTTGAACCTGTTCTTTAAGGTTCCTAAAGGTTTTCTGCATCAGGTCCAAACCTCCTTTTCTCAGCTTTATAAGAGCAGATCCCCCACTTAACTAAACTTCTTTCCCACTCTATCTTAAGGACTAATAAAAAATTTTAGTACTAGAATGTTCCAGAGTGAGGCAACCATGACTCAAAGACATTGTGATATGCCCGAGGTCACAGATACTGTAGCAGAACCAGAACTAAATATCCAGATGGCCAAGTGGTGTCTTCAGTACACGATTCTGTGAAATTCCCACTCAAACTGTGTACCCCTGTCCCCCATCCCTTAAGTAAGGGCTCATTCCTACCTCCAGGCTTTTGCTTTTGGTCATAACCCTCCACCTAACCAAATTCAACCCATCCTGCAGGCTCAGTTCAGGCCCCCAGGCTCCTTCCATGACATTCCCAAGTATCTGCCCATCATACCTCTCTTCCATCTGCGCTGCATTGAGAGTTAGCATGTTCCATTCAGCACAACACTGACAGAGGTCAGTATTCAGTTTGACTAAACTGCTATCAGCTCAACAGATAGCTCCTAAACTAAGCTGGGACAGACTGCTACCAGTAGCCTTAGTAGCACCTAGGAATCCACGGGAACCACTCAACATTTAAGTAACCAAAAATAAGGACACAATGGCAATGAGCAGAAGGGCTATTTGTCTAGACTTGAAAGGCACTCACTGTGTATCAGTAATCTCCAATGGATAATTTTGTTTCAGCTAATTACTCTTCATACCAAATTAACCACCAAAATGGTAAGATCTACTTACTGTCATGAAATACTGTCAGAACCGTGTTGTCAGTGGTGCTCAAGAACACCTATCTAAAAAGGTATCCAATCTCTGTCCAATTTCAACCTAAAAAAAAAAAAATCTATTAAATGTATAGTATACAGGTTTTCTTTTCTAGTAAAATTAAAGAGGATGCATATAGTTTTGTCTACTACTCTTAGTCAATGGAGATTGAAAAAGCAGACACCCAATGAATGCTTATTGAATTAGAAGATTTATTTTGGAGAACTTACAAAAAAGTTAATTCCATGGGGAAATTGCTTTTCTAATGTAACCCTGAATTTAGTCACGCTCATCTTAAATATTCATCACAGTTCACCAAATAGGGTCCAAATTATATATTGTGTAAGAAACTGAATATTATACATCTAAATTACTTGAAATATTAATAGGCAAGACACAAATACTCCACTTATCAACATAATTTTTGATGACAGTTTTCTTAAAGTTTCAGAGTGAGATTTGGGTGTTTAAAAGCTCAAAAAGGCGACATTTATCTCAGAATATGCTTCTAATTAAGTACCTTAGATTATACTGGGAAAAACATACACACTGTCCAGAGAACATATACCCCCTGGTCCCCCCCCAAAAAAAAAAACCATACACACAAAATCAAGCCCCTTTTTATCATTTTGAAGCACCAACATTTTGGACTAAAATTTCATCTAAATGGCACTTCAGTCTCACCTCATGGAATAAATAGCTGAATAAATTAGTATCAATTACAATGTTACAACCTTCATTTCTCATTTGCTCTTTTCCTTTTTTCAATGAAACAATTAAAGGGGAGGCTTGATAGAACATCTTTCTAGTGTTAATTTTAGAGGGAAAAGAAATGCTGATTTGCATTCAAGCATGAAATCTAGTAAAGAGCAGAAAAAATTGTAGCCACAGAGCTTAATTTTTAAAATGCCACTAAAGGGTCCAGGCAGTGTCAGCAAAGACTGCCTGACATTTGCTATAATCTTTAAAAGTAATTTCCAATGTCTTTTCATAGAGTGCCCTCTTTCTAGATCCAAAGCTGCCCAGTAAAATTTCTTCCTTGTAGTTACCCTCCCCCCCAAAAAAGGTTAGGATGACTTTTAAAAATAATGCTCACAACACCTAAAATATCATACATACACACACACACATATTTATATATATTTGGCTTAGAATGGGGAGGGCAGGTGAGAGCCCCCCTAGTCACTCAAAATACTTAGATTGAGTATATATTTAGGTTCAGTACATTGAAGAAAAACACTACTGCTTCATATGGAATATATTTTCTTAAAGGCAGGTTATGATGTATGTGAAAACTCAAGGGAATATATACATCTGTTTAATGTCTGAAGAAATGCAAATTTGTATCCAAGAAAAGCAGTAGTCCCTTCCTCCAACCTCCATTCTTTGGCATCAACAACCACAGAGTTTTGCATCGATATAATCTTTAAATTAAGCTACCAGAGCAGTGCAGAGAAGGAATAATTGCCTTTTAAGGAATTCTGGTTAAACTTTCAATACTTTACCAATAAAACCTCTACTTACTAATGCCACTGCTATTATTGATCAGTTTATCTCATCAGTCTATGATGCTGATTAGTTTCCATTCTAAGCGAGCTGAAGCCACCCCAGCGATTTGTGCCAGGAATCGTGGAACTAGGGAGTCCATGCGGATTAGTGGGATGCCATTTTTTTAAAGGTCGCCGGCTACCTAACCTTGTCTTGTTATAGTACTTTGGGCGCGATTACGATTTGGGGGTGCTCGTAATTCTTTGTTCTCGGAGACTACTGTTCCTTATGGCTCTGCACATCCTCCCGCCTCCCACCACCGATGATTAAAACCTCAGTCCAATCCGAAAGGCTTCC